TGACAGCTGCTGAAAATTTAATCAGCGACAGGAGAATCGATAACAGACAGAGTGTTGATAATCACAAGGATTTCTTTGGAAAAGTCAATGAGCGATGGATTCAGGATCTCATCAATGCTGGACAAGATCTCAGGAATGCATTACCATCTGATCAGCAGAGACCGATCATCGATGCTGTTGATGGACTGCAGCAGCGATGGCGTGACGTTCTGGCTTTTGCACCACTTCATCTGATGAGACTCGAATTTCGCCTGGATGAGACAACATTTTTGCAATACCTCAAGGACATTGAGATGGAAATTAATTCAGAGCAGCAGGCGTTGATCAAGAACGAGAATGTTGACACGATTCTTGGAAGGAATGACGAGTTCTTCGTGAAGAGGGGAGTCATCGGTGAGGTGCAGAAGAATTTACAGAGCTTGAAGAAAATTAGTATTGCTTACAGCCAGATTAAGCCTGATGACAAAACACTCCAGGAGGCTGTGGCACAGGCTGAGCAGATGTGGGAGGATTCAGCTCAGAGGATTGAGACACTCAGGGAGCAGTTGAAGCAAGTCCCTGAGCAATGGGCCACTTACAGGAATAAGTGAGTACCTGTGGATCGCGAATTCATTCGAAACAAAGACTGGATCATTGATTTTTCCTGTTTAGGTTCGAGGAAATGGTGAGATGGATGGATCACGTTGATGGCATTATCCGAACAATTCTCAAAGAAGTCAATTCTCTGGAGGAATTCCAGAAAGAACGAACTGTCTTCCAGGTAAGATGTTATTGTCATCATCTCTTTTGTGTCAGCTTATTCGTATTATTCATCGATATTTGTGTTGTGCTCACTCATGGACACAGATGCAATCACTAACGGTAAATTTTCGCACGTTTTTTTCCTTCCTCTCACTTTACCATCCCTCTTGCTTTGAAGACCTTGAAGAACACCCTGTGAATGGTTTTTTAATGGTCCTTGTAGAATGTGTGCCATGAGGCTGACAGCAAGCGAGAAGAGATGAAGTGGTTGGTCCAGACGCTGGACAGTCTGACGACGAATCGTTCTGATCATGAAGCCCTGAGTGAACAACGACAGCTTGAACAATTGATAACGCGTTACAAGAACTTGATACCAACCATTGAGATAACAATGACGAAGACCGACATCTACACGAAGAGTTACACTTATCGTAAAGAGGTGCACGAGGTTTGCACACTCCTTGAGAAAGTTAGGAGAGAATTTACGGTGGAGAGTCCAGAGGTGCCAGCAGAAGGGGAGAAAGCTGCTGAGATTCTGAAGGAAGCTGTGAGCAATCATGAGAGTCGATTGAGTCAATTGGAGACCCAGAGGGCGAATATTGTGAGTATGCTGCAACGTGGAAAGGATTTGCTGAAGGATCAGCACGCACCCCCATTCGTCTCATCCGAGATTCAACAGCTGGAGTCGAGCTGGAATGACACTTATGGCCAGAGTGTCGACACCCTGAAGACCCTGAAGACCTCGCAGAAGCTGTGGGAGGCGTATGAGCAGCAGAAAGAAGAAATAACCAAGCTAATGAGAGAAGCTAATGAGGAATTACAGAAGATCAAGAGCATGAGCTTCCGGGACGCACAAAGAGTCGCTTCCAATATTCAATTCCAGAAGGAATTTTTTTCGAACTTGAAGAGATCATCCGGGGAAATAATCTCCAAATTGAAGGACACGGAGGAAAAAATACGGGACATCAATCCTGGGGAGATTACGATCACGATCAGGGAGGAGATCACGAAGATCGAGAAGATCGTGCACACGACTATTGAGAAAGTGGAGAAACGTGTGACTCATTTGGAAAAACAGGGGGTGAAATGGTCAAAGGTGCAGAATGAGATGATGGAGTTGAAGAATTGGGCGCAGCAGAATGCACCACAGGCTATTGCCACAGTCCAGGATGCGTCAACAACACCAGAGGAGAGAGTACGAAAAACGGAAATACTGCAGAAGCAAATCTCTGATAAAATTGAGAACCTGAAGACTCTGGAGGAGGAATCAAAGGAATTGATTACAGGTAAATGATTTTGATAATGCAAATGATTATTACGGAGAATGTTTTTTGGAATTTTTATGATTTGCCTTGATTTACAGAAGAACAAGCTGTCGACTCGAAGCTCCTGAAGACCGAGATAATCGAGCTGGAGAAGTCTTTGCAGGCCCTGAACGACAGGATTTCCCATCAACGTGACGATGCCACGAAGAATCTTGCCACCTGGAAGCAGTACGAAGTGAAGATTGAGAAAGTCAAGCCCTGGATTGACCAAGCGGAGTGTCAAGTTGCGACAATCGGTGTAAAACCATCGAGTCTTCCTCAGGCATTCGAGATGATGCAGACAGCGAGAGCCTTTGAGCGCCAGTGCCAACAGCATTTGCCACATATTCAGGATTTATCTCAGGTGAGTCAGCAGATCGAGGGGAGGACTGTAGCTCCTGATGAAGTTGATGCTGTTTACACACGGTGGAATGCAGTCCACGACATCTCCGTCCAGACAACCAACAAGTTGGATAAATTGGTGACATCGTGGACGAATTTTGAGAAGGATCTTGGGGATTTTGATAGTTGGCTGATCAAGAGTGAGAGATTAGCTGAGACTCAGCCCAATGTTCAGACCCCAGAGCCAGTCAAATTGGAGAAGGATTTGAATCGTTTGAAGGTGTTTAATAAAGAGATCTCTGATCATCAGGCACAGCTCATTGGTATCACTCAGGTGTCTGATCATATCAGGCACGGGGTCACGGTCGAGGGTGGAATTATTCTCAAGACTCGTGTCTCCGAAATGAAGGGAAGAGTGGGAAAATTAGCTGATAATGTCAGACAGCAGATTAATCTGGTGTCAGATGCACTTCTCGCACGTCAGGAGTTTCACATTAAAATTTCCGATTTTGAGAATTGGATGACGCAGTCGAGGGCTAATATCACGGAGGTCAGTGATGTCAGTGTTGATAATGTTGATAGGAATCTTCAAGCACTCCACGGATATCTTCAGGAGCATCGGGAGAAGCAGATGATTTTTGGTGGGATTTATGATGAAGTTAAAAGACTCTCTGCTCAGGGTACACCTCAGGAGGCACAAGCTCTCAACGAAATCTACACCGATTTGGCTTCCAGGTACAAGGCCCTGGAGGATGATGTCCAGAAGAGGAAGAAGGGACTGGAGAAGTGGGGAGAGCTTCTCAACTGGTACAACGAGACGAGCGCACAATTGAGCCACACCAACTACCAATTGGAAAACAGAAAACCGACGGTTGAGGATTTGGATAAATTGTCGATTGAGATTCAGAGGGTAAATGATAAAATTGAATCCTGGAAGGTGCAAATCCCTGCTGTTGATGATACCATGGGAATCAGGATGAGGGACAAGCAGGGAAAGTCTCTGACAGCTGCCAATCTCGTTCACGAATTGGAGAACAAAACATTAGCTTTGAAAACAGAAATATCGACAAAGCGGGATAAACTCGAGAGTTTGGGTGCGCGTTGGGAGAATTTCCGACAGCTCCATGGAAAATTAACTGAAGAAATAGTAACGACTCAGTCATCGTTGCAGGAAATAACGATGAGCGTGAAGACTTGTGAGGAATTGTCAGCAGCAGTGGAGAAGATCGATGACTTGATCGAAGATCATCAGCGAAGAGAGTCGGACAAGAACACCCTCCACCGAGAGGGCAATAATCTGATCAAAGAGGATCAGAAAGCCATGACAAATGTCCAAGTGGTTGTCTCCTCGGTCGACGCTAATTGGGATAAAGTTAACGATTTGTTGAAGGAGCAGAGAAAAAAATACTCAGAGATGGAGATTAATTGGAGGAGTTACCAGGAATCCAGACAGAAGCTCGTGAAGTTCATGGAGGACTCGAAGAATCTTCAGTCAGCCCTCCAGGATGTACCGAATGACGTGACCCAGGCGAACGTTGCACTTGAAAAACACAAGCGAGCCTCTGAAGTTCTGAAGAAGGGAAAGCAATTCCTGGAGAAGATGGAGCAGAAGGCAGCGCAAATTATTAAGGAAGCGTCACTGATGTCAATGTTCAAGGGGAAAATAATAGAGACCGATCTGTCCAAGATGAGGACCGAGTACCAGGAGATCTACACAAAGATCATGGAGAGGACTCAGTCACTGGAGACACAGGTGATCATCTGGAAACAGATTGAAGAGTCCAAGTACGAATTGACCCGGTGGTTGGGTAATACCAATGAAGCATTGACGTCGGCTTACGAACGTCTGACTGACGCTGAGAATGGACAGGTAAGATTGACTCGCTATCGAGAGGAATTGCCCACCTATCAGCTGCTGCATGAGGGAATAGCCGACAAAACGGAGCAGATAATCAAGATCAATGACAACGCATCGATGCCAACCCTGGAATCGCTGAACAAAGTCCTGGATGAGCAGTTCAGAGTTGTCCAGGAGTCGGCGGATAGACTGGCGTCTCTCACCTCGAGTCTCACAGAGAAAGAAAAAGGAATCAAGCAAAATCTGAAGAGATCGAGCGATCAGATCTCGAAAATTCGTGAAGAAATCATAAAGTGCGACGATTTGACCGGTGAGAACACCAGAATTTTGGTGAGAATAAATAAATGCCAGCAGTTGAAGAAGGAACTCGAGGATTGCGACGGAGATCTTCAGGCTATTCACCAGGATATAGCAGCTGCTTCGGACAGCTATCCGGCAATTCGTCACTCAACTCTACCCAAAGAATTGGAATCGATTCAGGAACGTCGAAGAGGTGTCGTCAGTCATGCTGATAAGGTATCTGCGACGCTAGTCGCCTTCCTCACGAAAGTCTATCACGAGAAATTCAGTGGGTTCCAGCGAATGGTAGCAACCCACAAGGAGAAAGTCATGTGGTGCGTACCAGAGCAGAACAGCGATAAATACAATCTAGAGGTGAAGATGACGTCGTTAATTGATGTGGAAAGTGGAATAAGAGAGTGTAAGGCTCGAAAAATCGAGACAGACAAGTCCTTGGGGCTTCTGAAGACTGTGGAAACACCCGAGACGATTGCTGCACTCACGGCTGAAAGGGATAATGTCGCGAAGGATCTGGAGTCCCTGGAGGATGATTACGCGAGGATAAAAGGAATTCTTAACAAGAATATCGAATTGTGGCAGCGCTATGAGACAACGTCGGAGAATATTTCCTCCTGGCTCAAAGAAACCGAGGGTAAAATTAGAATCGAGGGCTCTGGTCTCATCGAATTGCCCCACATCGAGGAAAAAATCAGAGAGATTGAGAATTATATGGAAGCTGTTAATGAATTCGAGAAGGAGATGAAGGATTTATCAGCGATCGGTGATGAAATCGTTGAGGCCAGTCCAGAGTCTCGAGTTGGTCAATACGTGGGTCATCTGTCCTCTCGGTATCAAGCGATTAAAAAATTTCTGATTCAGCATTTGGAAAAATTGAGAGAATTGAAAGATGGGAGAGATCTGTATCAGTCCCACGTTCAAGATCTCGAGACCTGGATTCAAGATGCTGAGGGGAAGCTGAAGAATTTGGACGGTGCGACTGGTCCCAAGCCGATCACCTTTTATCAGGCGCGTCTCATGGAGCTGAAGGCCTTCAGGGAAGACCGTGAGAAAGGACAGGGGATTTTGAACAGGATCGCTGAAGCTGGTGAGGCTTTGTTCCCCAAGATCACTCCTGATCAGAGAGAAGCCCTCAGGGCTGAGCTCAGAAATCTCAGGAGCAGAGTCGACGCTGTGGGTGACTGGTCCAATGGCATTTACAAGAAAATCGAGAATGACATGATGCACAGGTCCTCGTTCGAGGACAAATACTCTCAAGTCAAGCAGTGGCTCTCTGATACACGTGAAAAAATCGGTGACAAGCAGGATCTGCTGCCAACACTCCAGGATAAGAAACTCGTGCTGCACTCGTACAGGGCAACATCACAAGACGTGAGCGTTCATAAAAATATTCTTCAGCAGCTGTCGTCGCGTTTGGAAGAAGTGGCTGACGACGAGGCGAGCGAAATGCTTGGGAATATAATCGAGGGTTACGAAGAACTAGCTCGGAATATCGAGGATCGAATTAATGTGGCTGAAAAACATGTTGCTAATCACGAGGCTTATCTCCAGACATTTGATAAAACTAGGGACTGGATTAATTCGGTTATAAATGAATTCTCACATCTTGGTGAGGACAGCGCCGTGGAGAGAGAGTCAGCCAGAGCGAAGATCAATCAGATTCAGAATATATTGGCCCAGAAACCTGAGGCTGAGCGAATCCTAGAGGACTGCAATCAACAGTTGAATATCATCCTCGAGCAGACGTCGATTGCTGGCCATCCAGCTCTCTCAAAAGCCTACGAGGCCCAGAAGAAGTCCTGGGAGAGCTTTCTGGCTCAACTGGAAGCGACGAAAGCTAGACTCAATGCTTTATTCAATCAGTGGACGGAATTTGAGAAGATCGTTGAAGATTTGGAGTGTTGGACGAAGCAGATGGAGTCGAGGGTGAAAGATCAGACGCTGAAGAGCAGTGAAGAAACCAAAAGAAATTACCTCGTAAAATTGCAGAGTCTCGAGGAGGAGATCTCTGCCAAAAGTGGTGACTTCAATGCAGCTGTTGAACGGAGTCAGGGCATCGAGGCTGACTCTGATCTTGCGACGAGACTCTCACGACAGTCAACACGCTATCAGGCAATCAGGAATCAAGCGAGAGAAGCTGTCGCCAGGTACGAGCAGTATGTCAGGGAACACAGCATTTTTAATGAACGTTACAATGAGTTCTTGAAGTGGATCAACCAAGTGCATGATGAATTGGGAAAACATCGGGAGATCGTTGGTGATCTGGCTGCTCTTCAGAATCGTCAGAAGTCCATTCGAGATTTGGCGGACACCAGAACCAAGGAGAATCCAAAATTCGAGTCTGTGATCGATCTCGGTGAGAAATTGTACGCCCACACGTCACCCGATGGCCGGGAAATAATTCGCCAGCAGTTGAGGGACTTGAGGGCACGTTGGGATGGATTCACAGAGGATCTGCAATCGTCGTCACAAAAGCTGGATCAGTGTCTCACGCAATTCGCAGAATTTTCCATGTCCCAGGAGCAATTGACGTCTTGGTTGAAGGATGTGGAGCGGACAATGCATCAGCACACAGAATTGAAGTCAACACTCGAGGAGAAACGGGCGCAATTGCAGAATCATCGAATAATGCATCAGGAGATCATGTCTTATCAGAATCTGATGGAATCGGTATGTGATAAGGCGCAGAGACTGGTTGATCAGACCCAGGACACGTCTCTGAATGTTTATATTCAATCGATAAAGCAATTGTTTCATAATATTGTTGTGAAGTCACAAGATCTACTTCAGAATCTCGAGGATTGCACGGAGAAGCACAACAAATTCAATCTCCAGTGTAAGACCTTGGAGGACTGGTTGAATTTAGAACGAGAGAAACTCGTCGACTGCAACGATATCACGGGAGAGCGGGCAGATATCTCGAGGAGAATAGCAACAATATCGGTCTTGAAGAGTGGACAATCTCAAGGATTTGATCATCTTCAGAAGTTGAAGGAATTATCGAATGTTGTTTTGTCAACGACAGCAAGCAAAGGCCATCCAGCGATTATCAAAGAGGTCGATGCCTTGGAGACTGCTCTTCAGCAGCATCTCAATGAAATCTCAGGGGTTGAAGCCAAACAAAATTCTGCTCTCCAGAAGTGGCATGACTTTGAGAATCAACTGGACTCACATAACAAGTGGTTCAGAGTGATGGAAGCTGCGTTCAGAGATCAACAGCTGCAATCAACTCTGAAGGACAAAGAGTGCCACCTCCAGGGGTTCAAGGAGAAGAGAGAGACAATAGTAAAACGAGAGAAAGATATCGACGAATTCATAGATAAATCTCACGGATTATTGAACTCGAGTGGTGTAGGCAGGATAAAGCCATCGATTTCCCAAATCAGTAATCGATATCAGCAGCTTTTGGTGTTGAGTAAAGAAGTGGTGGATCGCTGTCAGAATATTGTTGATGAGCACAGGGGATTCGATGAGAGGCTGAAGTCTGTGGAGGCCTGGTTAACGCCATTGGAGGATAATCTGTCGTCTCTCAAGGCTGAGGAAATTGGTGGGGACCTGGAGGCGAAGAGCAGTCGCTTGAAGATGTTGTTGAGTGAGAGAGAGCAGGCAGAGTCCAAGATTGCATCCCTAAATTCAGCTGGTGACAGGATTCTACCCACCACCTCGTCACAGGGGCGTGAATACATCAGACACGAGTTGAGGAAGATCAGGGAGAGATGGGATAGACTTGACGAGGATATTGTAACTCAGCAGAAGAAACAGGATGCACAGACGATGCAGTGGTCCAGCTATCAGGAGACTCTACAGCAGATTCTCGTCTGGTTGGAGAATACTGAGAGGTCTTTGAAGCAGGATGCATCGATGGCGTGGTCTACTCTTCCTGAAGTTAGATCGAAGCTGGTGAAGAGCAAGGTAATGCTTGCGATTGATTAATCAATTATTTGAGATAACTGTCGATTTTTTACAGAGTCTCCATCAGGAGATAGTGGCGCACAAGAGAATCATTGAGGCTGTCTCCGAGAAGGCAAATGCTCTACCCCAGACCTCCCAAAATCAACCAGATATAATGGCGACTGTGGCTGCTGTGTCCAAGAGGTACACTGAATTGGTAGCTTCTTCGAATGAAGCGATTAAGAATCTCGAGAAGCTTCTGGAGATCTTCCAGCAATTCCATGATCTGCAGAAAGCGTATCAAGATTATCAGAAACAGTTGTGGGACAGGCTTGGGAGTTATACCGATTACACTGGGAACAAAGCTGCTCTTCAGGCCAGGCTGGTGAAGGTCATCGAGATTCAGGATGGCCAGAGCGAGGGCGAGCACAAGCTCACGGTTCTCGAAGAACACGTCAAGATTAATGCATCGACTCTTCCACCGAGATCTCAAGAATCTATGGAGAGAGATGTCTCCAATTTGAGGTAAATTATATTACAAATGCAGAAACATAAATTGAACATAATGTCAATTGCGGTATGATGTCGTTCTCTCAGATTTGAGAACAAGAAGTTTACGACTGCTGTGAACGATGTGGTGCGTCGTCTGGAGGAGAGAATTCAGTCGTGGAATGAGTACGAAAATTCTCTGGAGAGGCTTTTGGCTTGGCTGTCAGAGGCTGAGGCCATCCTGAAGAATTACTCGCTGAAGAATACGTTGGAGGAAAAACAGGAGCAATTGGAAAAGTACCAGGTAAGTGTTTTTTTTCTGTCTGGACAATTAATTCTTGTTATTCACCGTTTGTCAGACATTGGAATTTCATTGTGATTAACACATTCTGTGTCGATTATTGTAAATCTCATCAGGAATTACGAAAGACTGCTGAAGCACGGGGAGGAGAAGTGACCGAGCTGATGTCACACTGTGATCAATTGGAGCAAGTAAGATTGCACTTGTCAAATGAATAATGCTTGCTTTAGGGACGATGGTGTTCTGGGAAGATGTCGAAGGCTTTGGATCGTGCTTCAATCATCATTATTTCCATTTGTGTTTACAGCTTCTATTATTAACGCCAACAATCATTATTCTAATTTATCTCCACTGAGAAAAAAAAATTCTTTTGCGCCAAGAATAATTCATAATCAAATATATTTGGCATTGAATCTTATGCGATTGCCAAATTAAATGGTGGACATTTTTTTTTTTCAATGGATCGACAATTGCTGAGTGCAGGGGACTGAAGACATCGCTCGATCGTTAAATTGATTTTTTTTACTCTAACCCGCCACGTGCGAATTAAATTCATTATATCTAAATTTCGCTAAAAAATTCTTGTAATTACATTCCTGAAAATATTCTCAGATTTTTTCACGCAAGATAATCATAAAAATTCAATGGAGTATGTTGCGAACGCGCCGCCATTTTGTCGGGGTCATTTCTCGTATGCATTCGCCATTGTTACGGGAAAAGGCGGGTAAATTTAAAATATCAAAAATGCCGGAATGTTTGTGAATTTGGTGATGAATATTTTGTCATTTAGGAGAATATTCTCAATGGTAAGTAAACATTTTGAAAAATTATTTCAGTCTCTGTTGGCTAATCTCCGGAGTCACGAGGCAGAATTCGACAAAATGAGTGATGACTCTTCAGAATTGATAGAATCCAGTAACGAGACGAGATTCTCCTCGAACGTCCAACAAATAACATCAAGATTCCAGTCGATCCAAGGGACCACAAAAGAACTAGTCAAAAAATGTGAACAGGCAACACAAGATCACCTGATGTACCTCGAGCGGTACAAGCAGTGCACCGACTGGCTGACAGCATCGCAGTCCCACTATCAATCCACATCAGACATCTCAACAGCTGACAAACAAGAATTGATAGCCCACGGTGATATCCTGAGGAATCTTCTATCTCGCATTGCAGCTGGTACCCTCCTAGTTAACAATGCAGTCGAAGCAGGAGAGCATTTGTACCCAACAACCGGCTCCGACGGTCGGGAGATCATCCGCCAGCAGCTGCTGGATCTCCAAAAAGCCCTGGAGACTCTTCACGACGGCGTAACATCCACCGAACGCGATATTCAAGTGAAGATATCGAGATGGTTGGGCTTCGACGAGTGCAGCGAAAGCCTCGACAATTGGCTGTCAAATTTGGAGAAGCAGATCAAACCGGAAATTGAATTGAGAACAACTCTGGATGAGAAACGAATTCAGCTTCAAGTTTATCGAGACTCTCTTCACTCTATTCAGGCCCGTCAGGAGGGTCTGTTCGCCCTCAGAGATAAAGCTGCCAATTTGCCAGATATGACAGAGAGAATTGATAAAGTTCTCAATAACTTGACGCAGAGGCATGCCGCATTGCTGAAGAGGGTGCAGGCATTTGTGGTGAAATACGAAGGCATTGTCCGTGATCATCAGCAGTACAGCGAAGCTGTCATGGAGACTCATCAGTGGCTGGATGCAACTCACAACGCCGTCAATCTCTGGGGAGATATTAAGCTAGAGAGAGTTTCACTTCATACGAATCTAGACAGACTGAAGAACCTTCTTCAGGGGCTTCCAGAAGAGGAGCCGTGGATTCATCAGATTGAAAAATTAGGGGAGAGAGTGATACCAGGGACTTTGGAGTCTGGCCAAGTGAATATCAGATCACAAATTGATTCCTCCCACCAGGAATGGCAGAGTCTAGTATCCGCGATAAAATCGACAATCGATACTCTCGAAATGAAACTTCAGCAGTGGAATGAATTTGAATTGCTGAAGGAGAAGTGTTTGGATTGGATCCAAAATACTGACACCAAGCTACACGCCATTGATCTCAAATCGAATTTATCTGAGAAGAAGGAACAGCTGGAGAAGTTACGGGCTCTTCAGGGTGAAGTCCGAGCTAAAGAATTGGAGATTGACGCTGTGACGGAGAGAGCGCAGCAATTGAATAAGAATTTGACGTCTCGCTCGTCGAATATCTCGGAATTGGGCATCAAGTATCACCAGATCAACAGCAAAGTCAAGGAATTGAATAATCGCTGGCAGCAGTATGTGGCGAATCACCAGGACTTTGACAATCAGATAGCAGCTTGTATGGGCTGGTTAGAAGGAATCCGTGAAAAACTCGCCTACTGCTCGGACCTCGGGGCTTCATCTAGAAAAGACCTGGAGAGCAAAATGGAGATGATCCAGGGACTTCTGCTGTACAAAGAGGATGGATTCGCCAAAATCCAAGGTATCATCGAGCTAGCACAATCAGTACTCGCTAATACAGCACCTGGTGGTCACACTGCGATCAATGAAGCGGTGTCGAAGCTGCAGGAGCAGTGGAGCTCGTTGGCCTCGAAGATGCTGGAAACGAAAACGAATCTCGATGATTCGATTAATAAATGGACAGGACTCCTCGCGCAGATTCAATCTGTAACTAAAACTGTGGATTACATGAAGAGTTCTTTGGATGAAGTTCTGCCGTTCCAGACGACGATGTCGGAAAAACGCGGACAATTGGAGAGAATCAAGGCTCTGGAGGAGAAGGTGAGATGCGAAAATATCGAAGTCGATGGCTTGAAGGCGAAAGTCGGGGAGATGATTGCCAGTGGTGTTCAGGGTGCAGCGGCATCTCAGGCTCAAGCAACTCTCAATAAATTCGATCAGCTGTTCGAACAGATAAAGTCTCTACTGGCTGAGCGTGAGGATCAGTACAAGGATCACAAGATTTATAAAGAATCGTACGATGATTTGATCGCTTGGTTGTGCCGCGCCAGAGAGAAGATCCCATCGATGAAGCAAAAGACCTTGAGCGATAAACTTGCCATTGAGAATGCTGTTGCACCTCTGGAGAGTCTTCTTAATAAAAAGGCACAGGGTGAGCTCCTTGTCGAGCAACTCCAGAATACTGGTGAAGTCGTTTGCGCCAGCACTAGTTCACAGGGTCAAACGATAATCAGAAATGAGATTAGGGCGATGGCCGAGTGCTTTGAGACGATGTTCAAGGAGATTCAGCAGCAGAAGGATCAGCTGGAGGAGACAGTGAATCAGTGGCGAGAGTACAAGGATGAATACGAACGTCTGAGTGATTGGCTTCAGCAGTATGACATTCTGATCAAGGCCCAGAAGAATGCACTCTTGCCTGATATCGAGGAGAAGGCGAAACAGGTGCAGGAAGTGCATGACATCCTGGAGAACTTGGTGAAAGGTCAGGAGCAGATCGACAAGTTCAACAAGACAGCGTCAGCACTTTTGTCCTCTCACTTGGATACTTACGTCAATAATCAATTGAGACACTTGAACTCTCGTTATCAAGTTCTTGTCAATCTTGCGAGAGACGTTCTGAACAAAGTGGAGACTAATTTAACACAGCACCAGGAGTACGAGTCGAACCTGGGGAAGGCTCGTGAATGGATTGATCATGCCAAACAGATTATTCGACAAGGAACTGAGGCAGCCTCCACCAGCAGTCGTGATGAGCTACAAGAGAGACTGGACAAGATCCAGGATTTATTGAAAAAACGAGAAGATGGACAGAATCTCGTGCATTTGACCGTCAATTGCGGTGAGAAGGTAGCGAGGAATACGAGGTCTGATGGACGTGAGGAGATAAATGCGCAATTGAAAGAGATTCAGAATGACTGGGAGCGACTGGTTAAGAAAATTTCAACAACAAAAGTTCACTTGGAGACGAGTCTTCTCCAGTGGGCGGACTACAGCTCGTCGTACTCCCAGCTCCAGCAGTGGATCAACGACAGGGAAGCTAAACTCCAGCAAGTCTGTGAGCAGAAGGTATCGAAGGCCAAGAAGGGTCTGGTTGGATTGAACTCGCTGGCAATCGGCGAGCGAAAGGCTAATTTGAGACAGACGAATAGTATTGTTCAGGACATCGTAGCGTTTGAACCGATGATTCAATCTGTAACGACTAAGGCTGAGGATCTTCAGCAGGCGACACCAGCCACTGAGATATCCATCAAATACGAAACACTCAGCAAGCACGCCCAGGAGCTGTATGCCAAACAGAAAGAGACTGTTGAACAGCATCAAGCATTTGTCGATAGTGGAAATGAATTTGTACAGTGGCTCAGAATTGCCAAAGAAAGACTTGGTAAATGTTCAGAACCCACTGGAGACAAGGAGTCTCTCTCCAGCAAGATCACTCAACTCAAGGTTCTTCAGAGTGAACTTCCCGAGGGACAGCGAAAGCTGGAGAAAGCGCTAGAGTGTGGTAATGCCGCTTGTCAAATTGCTGATGCTGAAGACAAAGAGATTATCGAGGAAGAAGTGGCTATATTGCAGGAAGAATACGATAATTACGTCGATGCTTTGAATAATGCAAAGGGTTTACTCGAGATTGGTATTGTCAAGTGGACAGAGTACGAGGATCAGTATTCTGAGTCACTGGAGTGGCTCACGCAGACAGAGCAATTGGTTCAGCCGTTCAATAAACTCCAGGATAGTCTGGAAGAGAAGAAGAATGTTCTTGAGCAGTTTCAGATACATCTCCAGACGTTGTTCGACTGGCAGAAGGAATTGGACAGGCTCAACATGAAGGCGCAGATCCTTCTGGAAACTTGTGCTGATACCAGGATATCAAATCAAGTTACTCAGCTCACGACTAAATACAACGCTCTGTTGTCACTCGCGAAGGAGATAATGCGACGATTGGAGTTGCATTATCAGGAGCATCAGCAGCATAATACGCTTTATCAGGAGTGTCAGGACTGGATAGACAGAACTCGGGAGAAGTTAGGGGATTGTCAATTGATACCCTCGACGATTGATGAGGTCAATAATAAATTGAACAGCTGCAAGGCCATTCGTCAGACCCTGGAGCAAGGCCAGAACAAGCTGAGGTACGCTCTGGAGCTCAAGGAGAAGGTGATAATGAATACCGAGCAGAATGGGGCGGCGAAGCTTCAGGAAGACACTGACAATCTCAGAGCTGATTTTGAGAAGCTCATGATTGATGTGGAGGTGGCACGACAGAAGCTGTCGATCAGGGCAACTGCTCTTGAAGAACTCGGTAAGCTTCATCGACTCATTGCTGATTGGATCGATGAGGCTGAGGGCAAGATCAGGCCTGAGGAGACTTCCAAGAATGATTTGAGTGAGAAGAGAGCTCTGCTCGAGAAGTACAAGACAGTTCAGAGGGACATGCAAGTACAGGCGGGGACAATCGATAAATTGAAGTCGAAGTTGAGTGAAGATGCGAGTATCACGAGGGGACCCTACGACGCGACGATCTCCAAGTACGAGGATATCCGTAAATTAGTCAGTGATAAGATAACAACTCTGGAGGATCAGGTGAACGAGCACGAGAGGTTTCAACGAGCGCAGAACGCAGCGTCAGATTGGGTCAGGAAAATGAGAGTTGATGCACAACAATTCAGCATGACTCACGGTGAGAAGGAAAAGCTCATCGAGCGAGAGAGAAAAATAAACGAGATCATACAGTCATTGCCGGAGGGAGAGTCCCTGATTTCGAAAGTAGTGGATCTCCATGAATCGGTGATTCGTTCAACAGGACCCGAGGGTCAGGACAGTATCAGACAGGAAGTCAGACAGCTGCAGCTTGATTGGAAGTCCCTGAAGTCGCAGTGTGAAGAGTCCCAGAAGACACTGGCAAATTGCATATCCATGTGGTCACAATTCAATGCAGCAACTGACAGTATGAAGTCCTGGCTTGATCAATTCCAGGTTAAGGTCAACGGTGAGCAAACACGCGAGAACAAAACTCCTGAGGATCTTGACAGATGCAAGCAGCTGGTGGAGGAGGCGATTCGACAGAAGCCAGTGCTCGAGGAGTTGAATGACAAGTGTGAGGCACTTCTTGAGATATCGGCGTGCAGCTGGGCCAGGGAAAAAACAGTTCAACTGCAATCGATGTACACAGCTGTTCTCAATGAGGCCCAGGGTCTTGTGTCGAGAGTCGAGAAGAACTTGTCGGATCACACGGAATTCATCAAAGCGAAAAAAGAAATGGAGGATTGGCTTTTGACTGCTCATGGCTCTGTCCAGGATTGCGCTGGTGTTGGAGATCTTGATTGGGCGCGTGATAAAATCGAAACAACTCGAGTCGTTGCAACGAGAATCACCGAAGGACAGCATCTGCTGTCGACACTTCAGAATGCCTTTGCTAAGGCCATCAATACTGCATTACCTGAACAGCAGGATCAACTCAGAATGGATATGGCTGCCATGAGATCCAGTTGGGAGCAGTTGAGTATGGATCTCAATACAATTCAGGCACAAGTAAAATCAATTTTGACAAGGTGGGAGGATCACGGTGATGCTTATGAGAGATTTGACAAGTGGCTGCGAGATACTGAACACACGATTGAGGGACTTCCTGATACTAAAGGAGAAATCGGGGAGATGAAAACACTTTGCGAGCGTTATCGACACATTCAGGAGGAAGTGAAGGTGAAGAAAGCGGATTTGGATCGGCTGTTGGAGGAGTCGGTGGAGTTGTCGTCGTGGGCAAGGGAGAAGACAACCGAAGAGAGGGCAAAGGAACTCGCTACTCGATGGGAGTCCCTGAGAGAACTCGTGGACCAGCAGAAAGCACTCGTGGAAAATGAAATCAGGGAGTACAATTCCTACCACAGCGCACTCCAGGAAACGGAGAAATGGCTGCTCCAGGTGTCCTTCCAGCTGATGGCTCACAACTCCCTGTACATCACCAGCAAAGAGCAAACACTGTCTCAGATTAAACAGCATCAGACTCTTCTGGAGGAGATCAACAAGTACCAGCATAATTTGGATGATCTAAAAGCTGAAGGACAGGGACAAATCGATCGTTATGTATCTGTTAATCCTGGAATTGAATCCACGATTCGGACGCAATTACAAAATGTCCAGGATAGTTACAATTCTCTCCTCAATACTGCTCTGCAGATTAAAAATCGACTGGACGAGTCTCTCGGTAAATTCGAGGATTACGAGAGAACTTTGGAGAGCATCATGAAAAATCTTGATGCTTACGAGCCGATTATGAGTGCCCAGTTGGAGACATCACTGGACACCCTGGAGACTGCTGAAGAAAACCTGGAGAGGGCTAGAACTCTTCACAATAAACTTCAGGCTGAGAAGGCAAGACTTGCTGTTGCAATTGAAGCCTGTGAAGCTGCTGCTGCATGTGTGTCAAGACCTGGGAGTCCTCTGGATGCTCCACCGGTACAGATACCGCAGAGGGAAATCGAAGTGAGAAATCGACTCGAGGATTTCATCGATCAGGTAATTAATTTTTTCAATTATTCTATCATTTATTGATGTGATTTTATTACTCGAAATTTAAACTGATTTTTATTTCGCATTGACACAACTAAAATTATTGATTATTCACAATTGAGCTTTTGCATGGACTATTTAATTTTTCGTTTTTTCATTTACTTGTGTTGTGCAGAAACATAATCAGAGTACTGCTGGAAGGCTGAAGGTACTCTTGAATGATGTCGAGAAAAAAGGCTTTTTAACGAAACTTAATGACATGTGCGAAAAGGTTTGCAATGTTATTATTTTATTCTAGTAACTCCCATTAACTTACACTCGTCGATATTCAAACAATTAGTATCGGTTTCATTCTTATTTTTCATCGTGGGTATTTAGATGCAAGTGCACTTGGCGAATGTGTCGAAAGCAGTGGGTGATCTCGAAGAGCAGACCCGCCAGAAGAACGCCCTGCGCACCTGGATAAATCAGCAACGAGCCTCCTGCGCAGAGTGGAAATCTCGACCAGCAAAATTGCGAGCAGAAGCAGCTCAGGCTGAGCTGCAGGCGATGAATGACGTCCTGACGAGTGTAGCAGATCGAAGATCTCGGGTTTTGACGGAAATGAATCTGAGGACGGATGGTCAAGACGATGATATCGAAGAAGGCCTCAACAAACTTGAGTCAGAACTCCTAGAGGCAATCGCTGACAAGCAATCCACCCAGGATTTGATACAAAAATACAGATCCCAGGTTCATGATATTCAGAATTGGTTCGATTCACTCGCGAAGAAGGTGGACGTAATCGAGAAGGGCAACGGTTTGAATATAGGTCAGAAGATCTCAGCTGTCAAGAACATCACCTCAGAGTTCGAGAGTCAAGCGCCACGGCGACTGGAGGAAGTCAAGAACTTCGCGGATCAAGTGATTGATTCCGTCAGTAATCTGGATTCACAGCAGATAGAGGAGCAAATTAAATCGGTCGAGCGTAGATACGCTGACATTGGAAAGAAGCTCCAAAGGAAATCTCAAGTTCTGGACATGACAGCTCAGGGAATCGAAGCAACACGAAAAGAGATCGAGGATAACCGAGAGTGGATCAGCCAGAAGAAGCAACAAGCTAGAGTTCGTGAACTCCTCGGTTACGAGGTTAAGCCCGCCGATGATCGAGTACAATCGCTCAAAGCGATGCTCAAAGAAGCTGAGAACAAGCAAATCGTTATCGATACATTAGAGAAACGAGTTGGCAATATGCAGAATGAACTTGAAGTGTCAGAGCAACAGGAACTCGAGTCAAGCACTAGATCATTGCGTGGTGAGCAGGCCGAGCTGTGCTCAATCCTCAGGGAAGAGATATCTGGTGCGACAGCTGCGTCTGATGCGCGGAAAAAACTCGAGGCCGATCTTGATCGTGCAAAGCTCTGGATTCGGGCGACACACAATGACCTGAAGAAGCTAAGTGGTTATCTTCCATTGAGGAGTTTCAAAGTGGAACAGGATATTGCCCAGCATAATGGAATTGATTCAGAAATCTCCGCCTTCAGCGAGCACAGCATGAAGAACGTGTTAAAACACGCCAACTCGTTGATGCGTGACTGCAACGATCAAGATCGATCTAAACTTCAATCGATCATCAATGCACTGAGCGATGATTACGACGCCCTTAAACAAGAGGCTGCAGAAAAACAGGCGTCATTGGTAGATCTTCTTCAGGGGCGAAAGGCATTTGAGAGTGAAATCGATCGCTGCCAGCGTTGGATCAAAGAAGCTGAGACTGCAACCTCGTCAGACGTCAGAACATCTAGTGTTGATGTTCTTCGTGAACAATTAGCCAAGTACGATCGGCTTAAGGACGAGGCAAAATCATTCGGCGATGATGTCGAGAAGATCCTGCAACAGGGAAAATCAATCCTTCCTACTGTCAGTGATGCAGACAAATTGGAATTGAGTGATCAATTGAAGAGCATGAAGGACGCACACTCCAGAGTTGCTGCTATCATCAATGAGAGAGCGAGCACTCTGCAGAAGAGTATCGCTGATGCTGAGGAAGCTGCAGCACGAGTTGCTGAAGCTGTGCGATTCATGTCGGATATTCAGAAGCAATTGCAGGATTTGAATAAACCGATTGGACCGAGGGTGGAAGACGTCGAGGGTATGTTGACAGCTTATGAGAAGATTCTCGGTGATCTCAAGGCGAATAAGGAGAAGCTCTCGGATTTGCAGTCAGCTAATGTCGGTGATCTCCATGGGGTTGTCGCTCAGCAGGATGATCTAATTCGTGCAATGGAGGGACAAATATCGAAATTGAGACAGCTTCTGCTACTTCGACAGCAATTCCTCGCCCTTGTCGCGGAGATAACGACATTTATCGCCAAGTATACAGAAATTGTGAGGGATATTGAGAAGCAGGAGCAGCCGATTGAGGAGAAAATCAAACGATACGACGACGTCATCTCCAAGATCCAGGAGTGCGAGGCTACATTGGCTAGTGCAACGGATAAAGGACAGCAGATTGCTGCTGATGGATCTGCAGTGGATCGGAATAATATCACTGAGCAATTGGGATCGTTGAAGCAACAGCTTCAGTGTCTCAGACGAGCTGTTGAGATGCAGAGGGATCAGCATGAATTGACTGTTGCTGAGCACAAGCGTTTGGCTGATGAACTCTCAGACATTCTCGATGGAATGGACACGAGGGAGAAGCTGGTGAAGTCACGACCGTTGTTGGAGAGATCGGCTGTGAGTGTCGAGGACGAGATCAGGAAGCATAAAGACCTCTGCGAATCTGTTAATGAATATCTCGAAAGGATTCGGGGGCTCAAGGCGTCTGTAAAACACGAGGAGAGCATGCCTGGATCGTTGAAGGAGATGTTGAGCGAGGCGATGTCCTTGCTCTCGTCTCTACCCAGAGAAATGGAAGATCGTGGCGTTTATCTGGAGAGCAATCACCAAATGCGGTTGGACTATGGAGTGCTGACGGAAAAATTGCATAATTGGGTGAGAGAAGCGGAGATCAGACTGCAGAGTGATAAAGATGGAGTTGATTTTGAGAATATTGTCAGTGATCTTGAGGAGCACAAGATATACTTCAGCTCGGAGTCGTCAATTCGTGAGCTAGTGTCTCAGCAGATTCAGCAGTCAGCTGACAAAATTTGGCCGTCACTCACCAGTGCAGAGCAGGAGGAATTGAGTCTTGAGCAGCAGCAGCACACGCAACTCCTGAAGAATACTTTGAATACAGCAAAGTCACATCGTGCCAGACTGGAACAAGCCGCTGACAGCTGGAGGGACTACACCCAAACTTTGGAGCGTGTGAAAGCTGTTATAGCCAGGACTAGATTCACTGACGAACCTGTCACGACTCTCGCTGGACTTCAGTTCAATATCCAGAAGATCACACATGCACTCAACGACATTCAGAATCAACAGTTCGAGTTGGATCTGTTGAATGAGCGTGGCCAGGAGGTGTTGGGTGTTGCTGATGCCAATAATCATCGGAATATTGAAGCTCAGTTGGCTGAGTCCAATGCTGAGTGGCGGGAGCTTGTGTCTGGGTTGGAAGGACGCAGAGATGCCCTGGAGGCACTCTCAAAACATTGGGAGGAGCTTGAGGCTAGGTGGAGTCATACTGAAACCAGACTAACAGCTATTGAGGAGAGGAGCAAGCTCGTGGATACCGTTGTCAGATCCAAACAGCATATTAGAGATACCATCAAGATTCTTGATGTAAGTCATGTTTTTTAACAGCTCTAGGATTACAGGAACAGTAAAAAATCATTTTTTCCGATATCGAATCGATTTGCCCGAAGAAAAATTGCCTATAGAAAAATAAATGTTGATATAAATAAATGAACAATAATTAAAATTTATAGAATGAAGGGTGAATATATTTTTCGTCTGGGATTAAGGGATTTTATTGGATTTTCCACAGGAACTTGTGGTTGAAGCTGAAAAACTGGAACCTGTGACTGAAGAAGTTAAGGGCCTCACGGGCCCAGTACTGGCGTATCTCGCTGCATTCACAGATGCACCAGCACGTGCTCTCCAGGAGCGACTGGACAAACTCGAGAAGTCATCGGCAATGTGAGTGAATGATTCCATTACTGCCTGACATGGACGTGAAATCATGAGATAAATTCAAATTGAAATAATTTCATTTCAGTAGAGCATCAAAAGTGATATTACAATGATTTTTTATTTAAAATAGCGTCCACCACAGGCAGATCTAGGCATGCGCATGGATTTTTATTCCGGCATGAGCTTTCCGCTTATTTCCCCATTTATTATCGTTACAAAATGATTATTTGTTATTATAAAATGACAGCGAGGGAGTGAAAATCGATAAATTTATGAGCGATGACTCCATGATCTCAAGTGTTGATCATGAATTTGAATAATTGCGTGTCAAGTTGCTGACAAATAATGCGAAACGATTGATGATTAATCGACGATTTACACGAGCACCTGGAACTGGTGAAAATCATTTAATTTTGGATGAGTTAAACGTCATGACTGAATTTGTCCACTGACGTAATTCATGCGATCGTAGAATAAGAGAAAGGTCGTGCTCTCGTGCGAAGGCTGACGGCCGTGGCATTCGCGTTATTATTTATTATTATTATCTGTCTTATGGTTCTCCATCTCCCAGTGATCACGGAATCATCAAATTCTCCCGATGATTCAGTCATCATTTCACAATCCAAGAAAACACACCAATTAACAGAAAGTTCACCGCAAAATTACGGAATGCAATGAAAATATAAATTAAATTTTATATAAATAAAAATACTTCAGTATTCCATTTAATTCTTAAAATTAAATTACTAAAATAATATTACGGATAAAAAATGAGTTGGTTATTGGATTTACGAGAGCCCGTGATGTAAATATCCGTTCCGATTTCTTATTCTCATTTTTCCATTCATTATTATTTAAAACAATAAATTTTCCCTCGAAATATTCGGCAAAAAGTGATTTTTTCGTGACGAGTAATAATTTGAAAAAAAAAATTGACAGGCAAAGTCATTGGCATTTAACGCCGGCTCGACCTTAAAGTTATTCTAAAAAATCACGGACATAAATAAATAGTACTTTCGTCTCCGTTGAGAATTATTATTAGCCCACAGGGTGTCTGCGTTTCGAAAAATCACCGAGTGTTCAAGACTCCATCGCATGCGCACTGAACTAGCTCTTGCTCTTGGCACACGTACGAATTTTCACCGAAAAAATAAACGAGTGAGTGAAAAAATGGCAATGGAGAGGGAACGAGACACCAAAATTGTCATCATCACTTCAATACGTTTCGAACCGCGAACAACTGCTGGCTGATTAGTGCCGCGCCATATTGTTAAGCCGTGCAATAAACCTATCAACAATTATTCAATTACTCTCGATAATCACGGACGAGACTTTTCCCCTTGTCTGAGCTAATTATCCAGGTAATTTTTCCGTTTAAAGGTGAATTAAGTGGATTTTCGCGAGTAGAACTAGTCGATGGCAGATCGGACCGAAATTCCCGCGTTTCCACTGCGCAGAATCGCAGAACAAATTGCAAGATCACTCGATCGGATCGATAAATGAGTTCTCCCAGAATCGCCGATTAATTCTAGATCATTATAGATTATAATGTGCCAGTTCCGAGTTGCTGACCTTCACCTGTCGGTTTTATGTTTTTTATTTTATTTTATTTAAACAACTAAAAATTCTGGTATTCAACACTGCCACGATTTTCTCCTCCACTTTTTTTTTCTCACTTCAAGTCCAAGAATACCAGCAGTTCAGTGAATGATGTCATAGACACTCAATGCTGCACACATGATTACCATTTCTTTTTATTCCGTCACGTGTCCTGAATGACGAAATCAATAGCGTAATTTATTTTCAACAATCATAAAAAGGAATAATGAATAAATTGCCGCAACTTTTGAGATTTACCGTCGAAAATTCGTGCTGCCAAAGCAACATAACTTAGCCGATCTACTTTTAGCCCACCTCCGTCTCTTTCCCTCACGACTAACACCAGAAATTAAGCGAGCCCTAGAAGATCTATCCGACGATAACTCCTGAAAATTCCGGAACATCTGAAAATTTCACCTGCAGCAATGTGGTGAACATCGTATTGAAATTACCGAATATCCCCCGCCAATAGAGCAACGAGATTTTTCTAGGTCGACAACTAGTTTTATTTCTGATTCACCAAGTCAAAAATACCGCGAACACAAGAACGCAATCGTAAATAAAACAGTTGCATTGTCGGAATTACCTTGAGAATGAGATAGAATAATAAAAACCTTTCAGGCTTGTCACGTCTCTCCGTTCAAAATCGGAAAAAGCGAGAGGAGACTTGAAATCCTTCGAGGAAGACGAGAGAGAAGTGCAAAATCTTGAGAATCGTCTGGAAGAGCTTCACCAGAGAATTGTTATCTTCTACGTATTTGGATCAGACCAAGAGGACATTGAGAATTCGATAGTTCACATCAGGGAGAGTCTTATCGAGCTCGTCGACAGGGTGAAGAGGTTCTCCGGTAGCACTAAGGCGCGGTACCAAACAACCCAACAGCTGATACCAAGTGATCTAGGACAACAGTTGACGTCATTGGAGCTAAACGCTGAGAGTGCAGTGCTCGCGATGGAGGATAAGCAGAGAGATCAGAAGAGAGCGAGAACGATAAGGAGTGATTATTTGTCAGATGTTGATGAGCTTCAGGCATGGATACGTCAGGCTGAGCTGAAGGTCCAGGACAGATCAATTGAGCCGATAAAACTCAGGGAATCACTGAGACAGATTCAGTCTGAGCTCACAGCAATGTCTGACAAATTGGAGAGATTGACGAAGAATGGACAGACCATCGTCGAGAATACAAGAGACGACGAGGAGCGCGACCTGATCCGCAAGACTATTTCAAATTTGACTGAGCAATTGGGACAGATCAGGTCCTGGCTTGAGGAGAAGAAACAGCAGGTCGGTGATACCCTCGATGCCTGGCAGAGATTTCTCGCTCTCCACGAGGCTGTCAGGGCGTGGACCCAGGAGAAGAGAATTTTCCTTGAGGAACCTCTCAGACTCACGTCACTCGTTCAAACTAGACAGCGACTTCACGACTATTCGGTAGGTTTCAACGGTAAAATCAGTAATCAGACTGATTTAATATCATTAATTCGTATTGTAGACTGCTGTCAAGAGCTGCAAGCAAGTCAATAAAAATCTGAGTGACATGGGTAAGGAGTTGGAGCTGATAGGTCAATTTACGAGCGTTGGAGATCTGCCAGAGAAATTAACAATTGCTGAAGAAGCCAAAGTCGAGGTTGAGGGTCAATTGTTACAGAGGGTTAGTTGAATTTATTGATATTCTCGATGAGAATTCGATAAATCAATCATGATAATGATTTCAGAATGCGTTGCTACAAGAGGCGAGCGAGGAGTGGGATCAGTGTGAGAAAAAATTGAAGGATGCCAAGTGTTGGCTTGATAAAGCGAGACAAAATTTAGAATCACCCCAGAACAAGAAGAAACCGCTGAGGGATCAGCATGCCATCAGAGAAAAAATGCTGAGCGATATTGTCATTCAGAAAACAAAAATAGGAATGTCAGTGGAGAAGCTGGAGGTGCATTTCAAATCTGGTCTAGTCGCAGACACTAAAATCAATGACAATGCCGATGATATCGTCAGCGAATTGAGTGCTCTCAATGAAATCGTTAAGGAACAAGCGACTTCTTTAGAGAGCTGTCTTGTACAGATCGATCAGTATCAGCAGGTTAGGCTTGTCAATTCGAATTATCGAAGCGGCTTGAGACAATATTTATTTATTTCTAGGATATACAGCAACTGAGACATCAAATTGTTCAAGTTGAACAGCAACTGCGATCCGCACTCAGTCCAACTCATCTACCTAATGATCGTGAGACTGCAATGCAGGAGCAACAGGTAGGTTTATCATGATTTAATCCTTATCATCACCTGCACTTTGTTAATGCGCTGATGCTGTTTTGTATTTGATACCAATCAAGGACCAATTACCGACGGGAGATGAACTGCCCTTCCTCACAGACGCGACTAAAATTACCATTTAACTATTTATTAATGATGAATCAATAGTTAATACTGTAGATATTTAACTAATTATTGTAACTGACATTATTCACTGGACTGTTGGAAACATTTTGATGCTTTTGAGAAGAGATGAGGTGAGATTGGATTTTTCTCAAGGTGTTTCCAGGATTAATCCACTAATTCACCTGTCCATTGGGTAGAAGAATATTTTAATAATCCAATCGATATTTCAGGAGATTAAATTATTCTTCTTCCACTCCACAATTTTCCCGTGATTTATTTTACTCACAATCACAGCTTTTCGTATTCATACCTGCACGCACAGATTAGATCTTAGATGGAGTAATAAAACCATTAACATTATTAAATCATTAATTGATTAACAATAATCACGTAGCGCTGGGGGAATTCCATTGATTAGTCATCAGATTATCATAATCAGAGGGTATTGGTTGGTATCTCATTGTTTTTTTAATTATTTCAATTTAGTTATTAAGTTTTGTTTGTTCTTTCTGTTGTCTCACGAGAGTACTTGATTTTGCTTGTTTGTGTTTAACGTTTTACGGATATTTTTTACTGTTAATTATTTTAATTGTCGATGATAAATCGAGGAGTGAGTAATTATTCACCCAGCAAATGAAAAAAAAAAACAGATGAAATAAATGACTTCTCACTGTCATCGTCCTCGTCTTCCGGTCAAAGAAACAAATTCATTGATTACATAATAATTAAATAAAATGAAAGGCAACAGACGGCACAATCAAGTCAACATCTCATTAAATTCAATTCCTCTTCAATCAATTGAAGATTTATTATTATTCTACATTCTGTTTCGTTGAGCATTATCATTTATGAATTTTGTTTGCTGCCTTTTCTTTCCACCGTGATCCCCACATCATCATCATCATCATCATCAAAACATCCGAAACAAATCCTCATATCCTTTCCCCTTTTCTCTTTCTCTCTGCATCGAAATTATAATTATTAAATAATTAAAAATCGTTATCCGACAAAATTTAAACCGACGAACTAGACGTATCGAGAACGAATTCGATCACTTCAGAGTAAAATTCATTCACGAGCCGAACGATCGAAATTACTAGTACAACGGGGAACCCCCGATATCGAGCCGCTGGATCCTTGAAATCGAAAATTAATACCGGGAATTGCGACACCTCGAGTCTCATCTCCCGTCTTAATTAATATTCTTAACATTCTTGTCAATTATTTTTCACTCACTGCGTCAATATGTAGCATCTAATAATTTTTCTATAGAATATTTCTTATAATCATCATTATATCGAGTGACGATTTAAAAAACATGAATAAAGTGCCCTTGATGAAAGATAAGAGCGTCGAAATCCTCATTGTCCTGCTTAAAGAAAATTTATAAAAAAAAAGAAAATAGACTGACTCATGTTATCGATGTTCTTTGGCTGTTGCGATTAATCGCATACAGGCCTTACAGACGCAAATCGACAATTGGAGGGAACGATCGAGAGTTCTGCTGGAGGAGATTCACATCCTGGATCCATTCTATCCACCAACGGGTGACCAGAGTCCGATAAAATTCGCGTCATACGCTGATATTGCAGCGGGTAGATCGAATCCGGCATCGAGAAATCCATCCAGAAATGCAAGTCCCTACAGAAGTCCCCAGGAGGTCCCGATTGACGACCCCAAGGTCCACCGTCCACTAGGAATTCGTGCTAGAGTCGAATCCAAACCGAATGATAATTCAAAACACCTGAGACCACCAAAAACCCAAGGAAAATTTGGAAAACGTGAAAAATCCAGAGATTCCAAGAAGACGAGAGGAGTACCTCAGGTACCTGGACACCGAGGAAGATCGCCATTACGAAAACCGGAGAAAGAGTCTCCGGAGGTGCGAATCCAAGTGGCGCATGATGAAACCCGAGTAAATCCTATCCAGGAGATGCGATCACTAGCTCCTGAGGCACGTAGAGAGAGATCCCGAAGTCCGATGTGGATTCCTGGGTCTACCTCGTACGCTGAGATACTCCGGGGAAATATTCAAGGAAATTTGACAGGTGGGGCTGAACAGCCCTCGGAGATGATGAAGTTGCCAATGGAGAGAGAGCCAGAGGTTGGTGACGTTCAACCCCAAGTGGAAAATGGAAGACCTGAGATCCCTGAATCCCCAAGTGATGATAAATCTTACCAGGAAGTCCCTCGATCACCAGAACAAATCCAGGAGACTCCCATGATGACGGAGTCGTGGGTTGATACTCCCATGGACTACCAGGTGCTGGATAAAGTTTATGGATCAATTCCTCAGGCTCGTCAACCTGATATGTACAACTATATGCATCCTATGCCTGAATTAGTTGGATTTATTAACGCAGGACTGGGATATCCTGTTGGATCCTATGTTTATCCTCAGGGTCATCAGGTACCTGCAATTGAAGTTATCAATCCGTACGAGAGTCACATGGGGTACAGCGATGATCATTACACGTCTCAGAGTTATTTGACTCCTGAGGTTTATCAGCAAGTGCCTGATGTTATTTATGCTCCAGTGATTGAAGGTCAAGAACAGGGGCTCTCGGATGTTCCTGAGAGGACTGGAGCGTCTGGAGAAGATGTGGGGAGTGGAGAGAGGAAAGAAAATATTGGGGAGTGTGATGGACCTTCCATGTCCTATGCTAAAATTCTATCGGCAGGTTTGCCTCCTCCTGGTCTCAGCAAAAAGGAAACGACTGTGAGACGAGAGCATTCTCCTCACGAGGTCACACCTCTTGAGGCTAAACTCGACAGAGGTAATGACAGAATGCCAAATTTATTGGAAGAGGAAGTCGAGGGTGGGAAATCAAAGGAGAAAAACTGGGACACGATTAGGAAAAAAGAGTCCAGGAGAAGAGCACCGGAAGTAACGCGCCTCGAGGCTGGAGGCAAGGAGAAGAAGCTGAAGAAACGAGGGGATCGATTTGAGGATAAAAAAATAATTCTTGAAGAGAAAATTGGGGAAGTGAAGAAAAATGTTCTGGAGATTGAGGAATGTACAGAGGATGGAAAGCTGGAGGTCAAGGATGAGAAGTCTTCTGATGGATCAAATCCAAAAAAACGGAAGCAGAAGAAGAAGAGGAGTGATAAAGGTGATGATGAGATTGATAAGGCTCTCAAGGAAATTGAAATTATGGATAAGAGGGGGAGAGGACTGGGGGAACGGGAGCAGAAAATTGTTAAAGAGGAAAAACTGCCGGAGAAAATTCTGGGGAAAGACCAAGTGCCTCAGGTTAAGAAAAAATCTAAGAGTAAAGGGGGGAAGATCGAGACGATATCGGAGGTGGGGAAAGTGGGAATGAGAACTCCGGAGGGAACGGAGGGAAAATCGGAAACAGAAGTGGGGAAAATTGAACTGGAGAGGAATGAATCGGTGGGAAAATCCCAGGAGAAAAAATCGGCTGCGAACTCGCAGGAGAAATTGGGAAATGAGCCCGAAGAGGTGATGGAAATGAAGATAGAAGGGGAAAAAGAAATTGGGAAGACCCGGACTAAATCGCAGAAGAAAAAATCTCAGAGGAAAGTCTCGCAGTCTGAGGATCAATCGAGGCATGAGATAAATTCCGGTGGAAAAGTTGAGTCGAAAGTAGAAGAGAGACTCGAGGAGATTGAAATAAAATCGGAGGAAAAATCGGTTGAGAAAGTTGAGATAAAACCTGAAGAGAAAAATCTAAATAAATCTCAGAAGAAAACGAAATCGGAGAAGAGATCGCAATTGAAATCCCAGGAGAAACATAAAATCGAGGAATTGAAATTAGAACCGAAAGTTAAAGTTGAACCTGAGGAAAAATTGAAAGCTGACGAAAAACCCAAATCGGTGGAAAAATCTGAAGGAGTGAAAATTATTCCCGAGGAAAAGCTCGAGACGAAAGCTGAGGAGGCGTTAAATTCAGAGTCAAAGGTGACGGCAATAAATAAATCTTCCAGCAAATCTCAGAAGAAAGGAAAATCTGGAAAAAAAATGGAGCAAAAACCTGAAGAAAAATCTAGGGTGACGGAATCGCCACAGCCAAAAGGAAAAATTGAAATCGAAGCTGGAACTCAACTCTTGGAAGAACAACCGAAAGTAGAAGATTCCTCGATTAAATGCGAAGAAGAGCCCCAAGTAATACCTGAGGAAACTAAAAAATTGAAATCTGATGAGACGAGAAAATCAGAAGAATCCATTTTAAAAATAGAGGACAAATGTCCAGGAAAGTCCCAGGAAGATGAACCCGAGGAGAAGTCCTCACTGAAACCAGAGAAAAAATCCCAGCTAGAGGCTACATCAAAACCATCAGCTCTTCAAATAAAACCTGAAGAGTTGCCACTAACAGAACCTGTAAAACCAGCAGCAAAACCTGTAGAAGATGTCGATGAATCAAAACTGAAGATCGAACCTGAAGAAAAGCCAGAGAGCATTAAGCAGAAAGAACCTGAGATAAAAGAACTGCCAGTAGAAGCCGATAAAATCGTTAAAACGGAAATAATCGTTTCAAAACCAGAGGAGAAAATTGTAAAAACAGTCGAACCTGCGTCGAATGATCAGAATGATTCCCCCAAGACTCCGAAACTCGAAAATATTCCAGAGACAAAAGATCAGACAAATTCAGACTCTAAATCCGTTATTGAGAGTGCGAAGTTTAAAGAAATACCAACAGGAGACTCGATTTCCCAAAAAGAAAAAACGAAATCGTTTCTCAAATCGAAGAATCGAGGTGAAGAGAAAGTTGTTGTTGAAAAAATCGCACCAATGATTATCGTAGAGTCGAAGAGACATACAGAGAGCAAAAGCGACAAGAAAATCCCTGGAAAAAGCAAAACTCCAGGGACTTCAGGTCCAGGAAAAAGTAAAACACCAGAAAACATTGGAAAAGCTCTGATTATCGAGACAACATCGACCACAATAACAGGATCTGAAGAGGTTCTCCCAGCTGACTTGAAGTCTGCGAAGTCTGTGGAGACAGAAAATATTCATCACCCCAAAATAAAATATGAGGAGCTAGTGGAGTTGCGACCAGCGACTGTTGAAGCATCTCTGACGACGACTTACGCTGCGATCCAACGAGCACCTGAAAAAATCGTTGAAGAAGTGATTTCTGCGGTCTCCAAGGGTGCGGAAAAATCAGGGACGACTGATGATTCGATTATTCATGAATCAGAACTCGAGATCATTGACTCTCCATTATTTGGAAGCGTTCAGAACAGGAGGAAGACAAAATTAATGCCTGAGACTTCTTCTCTCGATGAATCCCAGAAGATCGAAGGTTGTTCTGAAGATGAGGAGATCGTTAAGATAATGGAACGCAAAATTAAAGGCTTCAGGGAGAAACCGAGAACTGATTTAACGAGTGATTTGATGAATGATCATTTTATTCAATCGTATTGGATGAATTATCATCAGTATTGGGAGGCAGAGAGTG